AGATAGTGAGTTTCTGAGGTGTTTAGGGCCAAATACAATAACCTCAGTTTTATCTGAATTTAAATGAAGGAAGTTACAGGTCATCCAGACCTTACATCAGGCATCTGGGTCTAACTCAACACCTCTATTTTAGTTTTTGCTCGACAGGGTCATGAAAAATTTGGATTTACTGTGTAAAGATGGGTGTTGCAGCGGTTTAACACTTCTCACAGGAAGGAGCTTCCGAGTTTGAACCTGCTGGTTGGCCTATCTGTGCCTTTCTGTGTTTGCATGTTCTCCCCCGGCTTCTTCCAATGAACGAGGCTAATTGATGATTCTGAATTGGCTGTAGGTGTGAGTGTGGTGTGTTTCTCTTCACAAAGCGTAGCCTCCTTCTCGCCCACTGTCAGCTGGAAGAACCTGTTGGAGGTGTTAGTGCTGATCTAGCTCATGGATGGATCAATGTATGAAACTCAGAAGATGCAACAGAGGTGGAAAATGTAGAGGTGGAAGGGAAAAAGAAATAAAAACTAAACAATAAACTGAAATGAAGGTAAACTGGTGCAGATACTGTATAGATTCAGATAAGATGATACAATAAGTCTGACAAAATCATGTGATTGGACACATTTTTCACAGCCCCCTTTGGTCCTACAGATGTTAGAGAGGTTTTGTAGTCAAAAGAGTTTTTGGGCAAGAATAACTTTGAACAGTCAGTATTGTGATGTCAACTATTTGTTCTTCTCGCTGGTTTCAAGTGGGTGAAGTTCAGCTGTGACAACACTTACTGGTTTTGCTTTTTGAATGTTACCTACAATACCTAGAGATGTGTTTTGTTGTTGTTGTTGTTATTTGTTTGTTTGGTTGTTTTTTACTTCTTTAATTTAGTTTAATTCAGATATATTTATGTACTGTAGTGCTAATGAACAACATGAGTGATGTCAAGACATTTCACACAGTAAGGTGAAGACCTTACAGCAACATATTTTAGAGAGAAAGCCAACAAATCCAAAGATTCCTTTTTGAACAAGCTCTTAGGTGGCATTGCAAAGGAAAAACTCCCATTTAGTGAACAGCAACCTCCGTCAGAACCAGTCTCTGGGAGGGCAGATGTCTGCATCGAGCGGTTGGGGTGAGAGAGAAAATGATAGCAGATGGAAAGATGAGGTCTTTATTTGTCACAAATACATGACAGTACTATGTGGTTTTTCCTTAGCTTTTATTGTCTCCCCCTTCAATCTCTTACATTAGGAAGAGCAGGGCAGTACAGTGACCAGTGAGCCAGCTATCATCATCAACTTGGCACAAATGCTGCATGAGCTCTAAAACGTGGCGAACGTTTAAACTTTGTGGTTTACATGGTTTGATTTGCAAAAAAGTTTCTCTTCTGACTGGTGTTATAGAGGGTCTGAGCAGTTGTCCGACAAAGCCAGTGAGTTGGTACACAGCTGCTTCTCAGATTACCTTTAGTTTTATCTCATGGCATGATTTTGTACTTCAGCAGTAAACACTGGTCTGACTTGTAACATTCGCTTTGGCTTTCAAATACGCCACTGTGATGAAATCTTCTGAAGAACGTATTTATGAAATGTCTCTTTATACAGCATGATTAGGGTAACTTTGTCTACTCTCATTTTAGTTATAAGGTTTCTTTTCTTATCAGACAATGAGTTATCTAGAAAGGAGCTGTTTTATCTTTTTGACATGTTTCTACTGTCACTTCAGTCTTCCTCAGAAACGTCATCTGACGTCCGTCATGATGTGTCCTTTACAGATGGTATCACCTGGCAATCTGTCAGATTTGCCAGACGGGCCACGGGCAAATCTGACAGATTGCCAGGCGGGTCACGCCTCCAGGAAACCACCAGGATTCCACCAGCTGATAAGGACATGTCATGACGAATGTCAGATGACATTTCTAAGGAAGACTGAAGGGACAGTAGAAACCTGTCAAAAAGGTAAAACAGCTCCTTCCTAAAAAACTTATTGTCTGACAAGAAAAGAAACCTTATGTCTCTTTATACAGTCTCTGTATTGATACAGCAACACGAACAAACTCAAGCCACACTGAAACTGGGCTTCTGATGCATCTGTTTACATGGAGGAAAGTCTCCTCCTTCTTTTTTAAACCAACTTTCAGAGTAATTTAATTTCTCATCTGAGCCTCCACATGCATGGTTACATGTAGATCTGTCCATCTAACGGTGCATTTGCTTATCTTGCCATACAGTCAGTGATGAAACATGATCATGATCAAACCCAGTAGTCAGAGCTTTCATCAAACACTCAGTACATAAAGTCATTTCTGCAGCATTTTCTATTAGACACAAAAACCACATTTACATGAGGTTTAGATGACATCCGGTTCTAAACCCTAATAAACACTGCCAACACAGGGTGACTTTGCTCTATTTTGCAGGTGCAGATACAGACACATAAAAGCCCTCCAGTTGTGGTCAACATCAAGCATCTGGGTCTAACTCAACACCTCTATTTTAGTTTTTGCTCGACAGGGTCATGAAAAATTTAGATTTACTGTGTAAAGATGGGTGCTGCAGTGGTTTAACACTTCCGTCTCACAGGAAGGGGCTTCCGAGTTTGAACCTGCTGGTTGGCCTTTCTGTGCCTTTCTGTGTTTGCATGTTCTCCCCCGGCTTCTTCCAATGAACGAGGCTAATTGATGATTATGAATTGGCCGTAGGAGTGAGTGTGGTGTGTTTCTGTTTGAGTCCTGCAATGTTCACAAAGCGTAGTCTCCTTCTGACCCACTGTCAGCTGGAAGAACCTGTTGGAGGTGTTAGTGCTGCTCTAGCTCATGGATGGATCGATGTATGATGCTCAGAAGATGCAATACTGGTGGAAGGAAAAAAGAAATAAAACCTAAACAATAAACTGAAAAGAAGGAAAGCTGGTGCAGATACTGTATAGATTCAGATAAGATGATACAATAAGTCTGACAAAATCACGTGATCGGACACATTTTTCACAGCCCCCTTTGGTCCTACAGACGTTAGGGAGGTTTCGTAGTCAAAAGAGTTTTTGGGCGAGTATCACTTTGAACAGCCAGTATTGTGATGAGTATAAAGTGAATATTAGAACAAGATGCAGTGTCAAGTGTGTTGATGGCAGACTAGGACAACATTTATGTTGCTGAGTAAAACGTGAACTCTGTCAGATATGTGGTTTGAAAAAAAAAAAAAGTTAACGTGTTTGAGTGAGGCCTAGAACAGAAACTAGACGTTTAATTTAATTTCTTTCTGCTCTGCACAGATTGTCCACTGTGGCACTGAAGAAACAGAAAAATAAGTGAATGAAGATGCCTCAAAAGCGACACATTCTTAATGGATTCTTCACAAATAAACTGTCCACAAGTGATGTTTTGGTTTTTACTGATCTATTGCAGGAGTTTGTTCATCCAGTCTAACATGGTTGAAATACATCATTTCTTTTCTGGTTTTAAAAGATTATTCAGCTCTCATTGCCGGGCTCCTCAGATCTTGGGACAGAAATAAATCTCTAAAGGAGTTTAGAAGTTTACCACATGGATTAAAAGAAGCACAAGCTCTTTCACAAAAATCTACCTGCAAACACACAAGACCCTCTTGATATTCACACAGGAAGGAAACGCACGTCAAACCCGCCACAGCTCTGGTCCCCTCGTCTGTGCCCAGCGTGCGCATCTTCTCACCATCCACAGTCATATGCGTTTGTGGTGTACTGAAAAAGAGCAATGCGAGGAAGGCGCTAAATTACACACGCAAAAAAAGAAGTGCTGCAAAAATGCAAGTGTGCTTGCAAACCGTGGTCTCTAAATCATTTACGACACAGTACATGAACCAGAAAATTTTGTTTTGAGATTTATCTGGCAGCTTCCAAAACACCAACCTGCTTCAGTTTCACTCTGCTGCCTCACCTCAGTGGAATATATGGAAATGAAGCTCATTATCAGGGGCAAGCCTGAGTTGGTGTCTTCATGTTAATACTTTCCAATGATTAAGACTGATGTGGGTGTTCCTCACAAGACTCAAACATGAAATGCTTTCAGATTTCGATTAGAAACACTTCATTTATTCACAAAGCACTTTTTCGGTTCAACACATGAAAAGTCACTTGGATTATCTCATTTACTTAAAAACAACCACAATATAACACTGTTTCTCTTTTCTAAGCACATTTTTAGACATCAAAACTGTCAGATCAACACTAAAATAAATATTTTAAAAAAGCTACAGCTAAATGAGCACCTTAGTGTTAACTGACTTCCTCTTCACCAATAAACGGTTCAATGTTTGGCTATGCATGTGTAAAATGCTTCAATACTCTTATGTGTACTTTCAATTCTCGATTTTTTTAAGCTGCCAATGTAGACAATGTGCAATATTTCCCCCACAGAAGCCACAGTCATGAATGCTATCCAGTGCAGTTATTATATAAAACATATATATTATATATATCATAGGAAAACACATTCAGTTCATCATCAGGGTATAGTGATGAGTAAGTTTCACTCCTGCCTGAGACTGATACTGGGATCAAAACCTGACACCCAAACTTCTTCAGATCTTGTAGAGACCAAAGAAGTTGCCATAATGTGAATGACTAAGAGAAGTCGGGTGCGATACATTCACAAAAACCCTGTCGTATTTCTTTAGCTGCAGGGCAGAGCCGAGGAAACTCTCTGTGGTCCAGGTGTGGCCCGACTGCTTAGAGCAGAAACCCGCCTTGTGGGCCTCCATCAGAATCAGAGATGGGGAATGTCCTGATCTCTTCACAAACACAGAGTGTTTAAACGAAGGGGGGACGCAGTCCTTGATCATCAGCTCCACTCGAGAGTAAATGTGGTAGAGTCCCGACTCGTTCACCTGCAGAGCGCCATCTTCAATCCGGTAAGCGACTCCTGTGGAGGTGAACGCCTGACCTGTCTTCGACTCCCATCGCAAAGTCTGGGGGACATGTCCTTTTTCAATCCGTCCTGTTTCAGGAAAGACATGATGTTACCAAATGTGTGGCGCAGAAAATCTCAAATGTGAAAATGACTAAAAATGTTACCTGTCACATGCGCTGCAGGTCTGTCTTTCTTGTCTTCTCCACTGAGCTGGGGTTCGTAGTAACCTGAAACAACCCCCAGATTAGTCACGTTATCTCCTCTTTTCCTTTATTAGCAACATTTTTCCCTTTGTTGGGAATACTTTATTTATGATAAGAGATCTTTAATAATAGAAACCTACCAATTTGCTTCTGAGGCGCAGCAACCTCCATCTCAGGTTTAACCTTCAAGTAAAACGAAAGAGACAGACAAATTTCAATACCACATCACACACATACGGGAGCCTCAGTGCTTTCTTCTGAAAGCTTTCTCAGAGCACGAGTCACAGAGGATTTCCTGTCTCACTGGACCTGTGACCACAGATGGAACACTTGAAGGTCTTGGTTTGCATTTCTAAATGTCAGAGGAGAGCTGAGGTAAATTAACTCTTCAAATGATTCCAAACGAAACGGTAAATCAATTATTAAACTTTGTTTCGAAGCTCTGCGTAAACTTTCCCCTCTCCCACCTTACACTTGTCGCCCCCTCTCTATTGCAAAGGTGGCAGGTGTCACACCTTTTTAATTTGTGCTTCGTCTCTCTCATTAAAACAGCTCAAGAAATGTCAAGAGTCTTCTTTGTCACATAGAGTTTGAGGAATGAAAAGTGAATAGTTCCACAAGGATTTGCAATAACAAGACTACTTAAAAACTGAAAAACTCATAAATTATGAAAAGCAAAGGGGAACTAAAATGCAGGGTAGACTGTACAAGAGTGCAGTCTTACATTTATATGTTCTATGCATGAAGCTGGAGCTTAAAAATGATTTGAATTTAGATCTGAGAAGCAATACTGAATACAAACAAACATGTTTAGCATAATTTCTTTGCAACTACTCCAGAATTATTACTTCACTTGCTTTTTTTCTTTTATATATATACATATATTACACAGTTCTACCAGATTTTAACCATCCTGTTTTTCCAGCCTGAAATCTATTTTTTTTCACACACTGCTGCAGTCATCATAACCTTAATTAATCAGTAAAACCTCACTGAAGCTCTCCTTCTTTTGTATTTCCCCATGTCACTCCTTACCTGTCTCAGTTCTTTCTGTATTTTCAAAATCTGGTAGGCTTCGAACCCGAGGGCTGCAAACACCAGCAGGAACAGCAGCAGCACGATCAAGGCCAAGCCGGGGCGAATTCCCATGCAGCCCTCGCTCTTCCCACGGCTCCTCACCCTCTGCTGGGCGGGAGGGAAGGACCAGCAGGGGATGAGGCCCGGAGGCTGGGCAGGGTGCTGCGGATCTCCAGCTCCATCCACAAGAAACACCTGAGGGAAGGGGTAGTTCTGGTCATAGCTCATGGTGCAGGTCCTACCCTGAGAGAAGCTGTGTGTACATCTAACAGGTCTGCATGAAAGGATGTGTCTACTGTCATCGGTGTGTCTTTACAGGGCCAAACTTCAGCTGTCACTCACCACCCACTGGTCCCTCCCACGCATGCGCAGAAGACTGCATATTTCTTTGCATAAACTTACACAAGCCAACCCTTTTGATCTCCTATGGGGTTGCTTTCCTGCATTGTATTTCTTCACAAACTTTACTGAGCTTTTTGTTCACAGTTTTGTGCTCATTACTTTAGACTTTTTGCTTTGCAGCACGCACGCAGACAAGTGTTGCTAAGCGAGAAAGGAAAGGAAGTGCGAGGTTTCAGCTGACCTCCACCTCAATAACCACCTCTCTGCTCATCATCACTAACAAAGCTTTGCATAAATTCCACAGAAGGAAAGATTGAGCAACCACTGACACAGTCACCTGCCCAACATTGGCATCCAGGCCACAAACTTCTCAACATTGATGAGAACTGTTCAGGAACTTCACACTGAATCTGAAAATGTCACTTTAAAGTCAACCTATTTAATAACCCATTAATAACAAACTAGATTTTTCTTGTGTTAAAAGGCTCACAGCATATTAGTAAACAGTGATGCAGCAGTTTCAGTTGTACACAGACTATTCTTGGTGGGAAGATTCTGCTGCCACATGAAAAGGACGTATGTCTGTGCTCTGGCTTTCGTGCAGACTGTGTGTGAGAAATTGGCAGTGAAAGACGCAGCAATACTTTACAGAGGTGACATTAACCCCAACCAATACTTCATAGATGAGCTTACAGGAAAGCTGACACGGCTTTTCTACCCACTCAGTGAATAGATATTACCAGTGTGGTCTTCATGATTCTTTTGGGTTCATTTCGGAGCAGTTATTACTTCGCTGTGGGTGCAACAGTCTTCCGGCAATCATCTGCTTTTTTCTGCTGGTTAATCAAGAAAACCAGTTTGCACTTATTCATGATCCTTCTTTAGTGAGCTTTCGGTGGTTTTTGATAAAGGGCATCTTTCCAGTTTCATCACAAAAGAGCCAGTGTTGCGGTGTAGGAGGCTGCAGCAGTGCTGTCACACAGACCTCCACCGAAACTTCGGCTTCAATATGGTTTACAACTGTGACGATGAGCTCGTATATCACATAAAGTGCTGTGTGTGTGTTTTAGCGATTCAAAGGGAAATTCTCAGGTATCAGCTCTGACCACTGTCTCAAAAGTTTCATTTCTCCAAGTTCACGCAGAGACAAAAGGGAAACCCACCTTGCAGTATATAGAGCTCCACCTAAGAGTAACTACGACATACTTAACCATAAATTGCAAAGTCTGCACTCTACAAGCTGATGAGTCTATTTCCCAGAAGCATCGCACTGACGGCAGTCCACAAAGCAGCAGCAGCAGCACACAGTGGGTTAAGGGGGAGGGTGGGGTTTTGGGGTCTAACCAGGCCATGTTCGCTGCTGCTGCTCCAGTTAACACAAGCAGACCAGGAGAAAAAAATGAATCACTAAATCTGCAGGCATCTCCACCAATTACTGTCAGTTTCGACTTGAGACTTGCTCCTTTCTATTGCATAATGGAGGTAGTTGTGGTCATGATGACTTATTACACAAGCGACAAAGATTTTCTAAAACTGTAATGAATGGCATAGCGTGTGGCTTTTTTGGAAACATACAATTTCCTTTAAGCAGCAGGTCTTGTGAGTTGGGCTTCAATTGAGAATTAAAATGCATCTTTTCTCTGTATAAATTTGTAACAGGCATCACATCAAAATACTGCAGTTACATGTTTTAATTTAGAATTTTTGCCAAATCTAAAAGCATAATTTGTTGAATATCTGAGAGAATGCAGGTCTATGTTTCTGAAGAGAAGCTGGTGATAGTAAAACACTCAGAATTTTTATTATTAAATTAATGTTATTAAAGACCCCTTCTGGTGAAAATCCTGTTTCGTTTTTTTTTTAGCTTGTCAGCGCATCCATGTGGTGTTTTAATATTCTACAAGACAAATCATGACCAAAATAACCAGTCAACGCCATGTGTACTAATGACAGTCTCAAAAGCATAAATTCATTATTGAATTTCCCTTCTGGGATAAATAAAGTATTTTTCATTCATTCATTTCATTCATTCAGGTTTCCGGGGTTTGATGTAACAAAACTGAGAACCAATCCTTTCAACTTGTTGCTTGAGGCTTTCACTATCAGTATTCTTCCTCAGAAGCTGAATTACTCCACTTTTACAACTTGCCACTGTAGTTTTACAGCGTTTGAGCAGAGCTGTATGTGTACAAATTGTGGAGCATTATGTGACATTATGTTTCAGAGTCCTCATCAGAAGAAGTGTAACAGTCTAGTCCCAGGACATGACCAGTCCTCTCCTCTGTTGCCTCAGGAATCCTCTCTGCTGCATCACAGTCAGACTGATTCTCTTGGACGGCAAATTTCTGTCCAACAACAGAACCCTTTGTTCCCCCGTCACTGTCCTCTCTGTTTTGGCTGTTCGAGGTAAATGTTTGTGTTGATGGAGAATTGTTCAGATTTGGCAGGCCAGCCTGCAGAAGCCTGGCAAGGTTTTGTGTTTGAGAGGAACTGATCTGAGTTGAAGGTCCTCTGAACGCAGCGGCAGCCACCGCCAGTCGTGTACGGTCGAAGGCAAGGGGCTGGTCCTGGACTGCACAGGCATCCTCTGAGATTTCTGACCCTGGGTTGGTGGGGAGAAGGGTTTGAAACCTGGTCTCTGAAAAGTTGAAAGGTATCTTGGTGTTGGAGGATTTGAAACTTCCTGCCCCACTGCTGGCCAAGTCGCTCTCACTTTGACTCCACTGACTGCTACCATCATGTGACTCACAGGGCCGAGGGTTTTTAACTGTGAACGAGAGGAGGCACACATGCAGAGTTAATATATACAACATCAACTACTGGTGTTTTAAAGGAATAGTTCACCCAAGTACAATAAGACAAGATAACACAAGTCTAACAATTCTACTAAATATTCCGTGTTACAGAAACAAAGGGGATAATCAAGAAACACAGGGACATCCATAGAAAAAAAAACAAACAAGACACATACATGCACCTGCCACTTTATTAGGTACACCTGTCCAACTGCTTGTTCACGCAAATTTCTAATCAGCCAATCACATGGCAGCAACTCAATGCATTTAGGCATGTAGACGTGGTCAAGACGATCTGCTGCAGTTCAAACTGAGCATCAGAATGGGGAAGAAAGGTGATTTAAGTGACTTTGAACGTGGCATGGTTGTTGGTGCCAGACGGGCTGGTCTGTGTATTTCAGAAGCTGCTGATCTACTGGGATTTTCACGCACAACCATCTCTAGGGTTTACAGAGAATGGTTCGAAAAAGAGAAAACATCCAGTGAGCGGCAGTTCTGTGGGCGCAAATGCCTTGTTGATGCCAGAGGTCAGAGGAGAATGGCCAGACTGGTTCGAACTGATAGAAAGGCAACAGTAACTCAAATAACCACTCCTTACAACCGAGGTTGTAAGGAGCCTTGAGGTGGATGGGCTACAGCAGCAGAAGACACACCGGGTGTCACTCCTGTCAGCTAAGAACAGGAAACTGAGGCTACAGTTCGCACAGGCTCACCAAAATTGGACAACAGAAGATTGGAAAAACTTTGCCCGGTCTGATGAGTCTTGATTTCTGCGGCGACATTCGGATGGTAGGGTCAGAATTTGGTGTCAACAACATGAAAGCATGCATCCATCCTGCCTTGTATCAACGGTTCAGGCTGGTGGTGGTGGTGTAATGGTGTGGGGGATATTTTCTTGGCACACTTTGGGCCCCTTAGTACCAATTGAGCATCGTGTCAACGCCACAGCCTACCTGAGTATTGTTGCTGGCCATGTCCATCCCTTTATGACCACAGTGTACCAATCTTCTGATGGCTACTTCCAGCAGGATAACGTGGCATGTCATAAAGCGCAAATCATCTCAGACTGGTTTCTTGAACATGACAATGAGTTCACTGTACTCCAATGGCCTCCACAGTCACCAGATCTCAATCCAATAGAGCACCTTTGGGATGTGGTGGAACGGGAGATTCGCATCATGGATGTGCAGCCGACAGATCTGCAGCAGTTTCCAGTACCTTGTTGAATCTATGCCACGAAGGACTAAGGTAGTTCTGAAGGCAAAAGGGGGTCAAACCCGGTACTAGCAAGGTGTACCTAATAAAGTGGCCGGTGAGTGTATATAAGTATTGTTGATATTGTACTAATTCTTCCATATGTAGAAATTCACATAGTGCACAGATTTTACTGATTCCACATTACTGTATATGAAGAAAAAAGTTAATGCTGTACAGACATTTTTTTAAATGTATAAAATATAAATAACTCAAAGGTTTGAATGTGAATCATAGCAATGAAAAGCTATGCACTGATAATTGTCAGAGAGGGCTTTTTCTAATTCCAGACAACGCAGGTCCATTGATAACATCTCTTGCAGTAGGTTTTTCGATAGGAAATGGTGACTCAGAAACAATCTTGGAAACAATTTTTCAGACATAGGCATCATTGCTGCAATGACAGAATGTGGGGGACTATCCTCACATTTTAATAATAATGTAAGCTATCTGACTAACAAAAGGGGAAAACTCAAATCTTAGTAGCATTCAATAATTTGAGTTTCAGCTACCTCTTAGATTTAGTCAATTTTTATACAAACAGGTATGTAGCATGATTTAAAACCACATATCACATAATTTATTCACTAATTTGTGATGCCAATCAATTTAATTTTTAAGCTTACCATATTTAAGCTGCATATGTATTACAGAGTAACAAAGCACACTCTGGATTTTGGAGAAAAAAAATCTAACTTATTGCTCCTCTTTTTGACAATCAAAAGAACCCTATAAGCATCATCCCTGTATGAGTGTGTGTTTCTTTTATTGAACATTAAGGTATATCTGTGTCAGCTGTTTGATCACTTTAAACACAGGAGCTGTATTTTGGCTCATGTTCTCAGACTATTCTTAGAGTAAAAGCAAGAAGCTTTTTATAAATATATATCTAGAAGATGTCTGTTTTTGAACACACGACATGCTTTCAGTGTATGTAGAAGATTAGTCATAACTTAACCACCAACCGTTGCTTGAACAGTCTTGTGTGTCTGTTCTCCTTTTGAGATATGCTCGAGGAGCCCATGGCTTATGTTTACACGAGGGGTCAAGAACTCGTAGTTTGGAGATGAAGCGTTTGTACTCTTTTTCTAAAGCCTCAATGTGCAGCTGGAACTCCGCTATCTTCCTCTCAGGGTAATGAGAAAGCTGGGATTGCTATAGAAAAAAAGAACAACAGGCAGGGAGTGTCGTCATCAGTAAACACTAATAAAGCATTTTCCCAGGCACAGTCATGTACACAGCTATAATACAAGACACCTTCCAATGTTCTGTTCTGGATTCTGTCAATTCTCTATTAAATTAAGGAAGCTTAGCTATAAAATAGGTACACTAAATTAGTATTTTAGTCCTCTGCTTGTACAAATTTTAAATACAGGCTAAGGAGCTGCCTGATAGATAAAATTTAGCTATCACAAATAATCATATAGGGCTAATATAATCATATAGACCAGCTAGCAGGTCCCTGGTTCGCGTCCCAGTGAGAACACCCGGGATCTTTCTGCGTGGAGTTTGCATGTTCTCCCTGTGCAGTGTGGGTTCTCTCTGGGTTCTCCACTCCAAAAACATGTTGAGATTAATTGGTGATTCTAAATTGTCCGTAGGTGTGAATGTGAGTGTGCTTGGTTGTCTGTCTCTAAGTGCGGCCCTGTGATAGACTGGCGACCTGTCCAGGGTGTCCCCTGTCTTCACCCTAAGTCAGCTGGGATAGACTCCAGCCCCCCACGACCCCAGTGAGGATTAAGCGGTGTGTAGATGATGGATGGAAATAATAATGACTATAACAGACTTTTCTCACTCTTATTAAAAAGGGGATGAATCAATATACTGCAAGTGTCCTTTGGTAGGCATGTACACAAGCTTGCTTCACAATCATATACACACTCACATTTACAATAAACCACATACACCATCATTACAGCCCCTAATGTATCTGTTGTTGATTTTGTTTTTCTTAACCTATGGTTGCATCTTTGCTTATTTTTGCAGATTCCTGAACATTTGTATTGGATTATAATGCATAGTGTGATGAGATTTCCCACTTGGAAAATTTACTTTTGTTCATATGCTTGAGCATAGTTATTGTATCTTGGAAATTGAAATCAGATAAAGACTTGTCCCTTACCTGCAGATAATACTCTATTTCGTTCTTGATGCTGGGGATCCACTTCTTCACAGAGGAGGCTGAATTCAGGGTAGACTGAGGAAGAAAAGTTTAGACTGAAACAAGCGACTGAACTGTGGCAATGTCATGAGAATTTTATATATCTTACTTCGTCATTACCAGCTTGGGTCGACGCTCACGAACATCTTTAAGGCGTCCCTCTGTGAAGGAAACAGTAAAAAACAATGGTTAGCTTAACTGCTTCGATTAGCCAAGTGTTCGGAGGAAGAACATTAATCCCACAGTGCACACTGTGTAAACGATGACATTGAAATTTACATTTTACAAGGCAAGTGATGTGGCCATTAATAAAACATTTTGTCATCCGGGGAGAAACTCTGTGTGTGTATTCACAGCTGTAGGCTAGCTAACTGCTGCAGCTAACGGGTTAAGCTAAATGTCCGTAAAGTAGCTTTTGATAGTTTTTTATTTGGCAAATAATAATTAAAGTTCGTGTCTTTAAAAGTCTTATTGCGGATATTAGCGGTTTACCCTCTCTCTCTTTCTGAAGCCACAGTCTGTTCAGTCTTCCCTGTTGTTTCTCCTCGTTTCTTGCCATTTCAACCCTGCAGCTCAACAGACAGACCCAAAACAATATCACGTGATACACAATTGTAGTCTCGTAATATATCGCGATAGCAGCTCCTAAAGTCGTTAAAAATGAACTACCAAGTGTCTCTGCTCCTGTTTGTATGTCTAACATCAAGCATTTATCTAGATGGGAATTTAACTAAATATTTGCACTGACCAAAATATAAACACAGCAAGCAAATGGCCCTTTTTTCTGACTTAGAAAAAAAGGGAAAAAAAGCTAATTTTCATTGTTATAGTGAGAAAAGAGTTACATTTAGCCCATTTTGAACAAAAAGTTTTAAGCTTCTGGGCTATTTAAAGTGGTGACAGACTCTCTACCATTGAGTTAATCCTCACCAGGAACAGGAGTGGTTTAAAAGGCCGTTAATCAGATATGTGACCCTTAGACAGACATTTGTTTCACCAAAGTCCACCTTTAATTCCAGCTTTATTGAAATGATACACTGCCACAGATGACTAGAGAAAGACAAGAACGGGATGTTAGCACGCTGTATGCTCGCTGCATGTCAGTTAAGGTTGTCTTCCCTTGATTTTGGGATATTTATATAAAACTAATGAAGTTTTCAATTTTTCCTTTAAAGTGGTCTTTTGCCCTTTGCGGAGACTAATTGGTCAAATCTAGAATCTGTAGGCCTCTTGCAAAATACACAGTGGGTGTGTGACAAGTCAGTTACATTCATTCAGTCACAGCAGGCCAACGAACAATGAGCTCAAAGCAGAGAAGAATACAAATTATACATCACTCAGTTTTGTTAGGCGTCTGCACGAGGTATCAGATAAAGTTGGATCAGTGCATGTCTACTTCTACCCATGTGATTATGAGAGAAGTTTATCTTCTGCATTTTTAAAAAACATCATCGTTTCATCAGGTGCAATTCCATTTCCTAAACCACATCCACATGAAAAGAAAAATATAACTGCAGAAACCTTATGTAAACCTTATTATGTGGATTTTGACTCTCACCTCAAAAAAATAAAAAAACTGCACAGTGAAGCTTTACATTAAGACCAGTATGGATCAGAGCATTGTTTTTTGAACCTATACCACCAGTGCTTGTCTGTACTATGTTTAAAATCCATCCATTCATCCAT